TACTCCTTTCGTTGGCACTAGGCGGGAGACCTAAAAATCCCACCTAGACGTAGATAGTGTTGCTAAAAAGAGAAAAAAAAGTAAGGAATTGTATTAATTGTATGATATGCGGAAGAAGTCTCGACAGTCTACGCCGAAATCTAAATATTCGTTCCCACATTTAGATGAGTGGAAATTTATTGTCAATAATGCTAAGTGTACATAATCTTTTACACAATTTTTTACACCCACCTCACATGGAGGGGAGCTCACACATAATAAAATAATCGTGGACCCCCCTCCATATGAGAGAGATGTAAAAGATTGTGTAAAAGTGTGTGTGTACATGTAGCATTACCCATTTATTGCTAAGTACCCCACAGACAGCGGGATTTGTATACATTTTTTCTCTGTATTTCCCAGAAACAACGGCACACGTGAGGGGGGCTTGCTGATATCTACTCCTATCTGCATTGCAACTTGTATTTATTGCTACTTCAACTTATATACGTCTCCTTGACTGACATGACGATCAAGCAAGCCATACACTGTATAATCCCGTCATTCCATTGAAGATAGACAAGGAAATAGAAAAGATATATACTCAGTGATGAAAAAAGAAAAGTCATGGTGCAGAAAGAAAAACAAAGATAGTCTCGTGTGGCATGTTGGCCAGAAAAATCGAGGGTACCACTAAACTACGCGGCTTAGACTTTTTTTATTATTATTGAATTTTATCCTCTAAGAATTCAAAGAAGTTCGAATGGACGTTGATTTAGATCGAAAGTTTACAAATTCAGTTGTTTATCAGAAGTACATAGTCGTGTGTGTGGTGTTGAGGGGTGGCGAAGGGGGGCCTATATACTTGAATAAAGGAGGTCCACTCCGAGAAATTCGCTGTCCTCCTCAGAAATAATTATCCACACTCCAATAAATTCTTGACAAGTGGACCAAGGAATTCTCTGTGCTCCTCAGTCCACAGAAATAATTATTGCACTAGTCCTATGAAAGTGACAAAATCATGACTACGCGAGGTTTATACATGCGCACGTACGTACATACATACATGCTTTATGTAAAAATATATACATACATGCCACGCATGCATGCATTATATAAGTGGGTGTTTGGCCCTCATTCTTTTGAAAAATGAATTTTTGAATAGTGATTGATGTAAAGAATGTGTGGTTAAAAAGTAAGAAGAATTTTTGGGTTTATGTATTATTTTATTTGAAAAATGTATGGTTAGAAATGAGTACCGTAGAAAAATGAGAATGAGATAAAAAAAAAAGAAAAAAATATTGATGTGATGGAAAATATTATTTTATTGAAGAATGTGTGGTTGAAAATGAGAATTGATTTACTGTAGAAAATGAGAATCTGTACCAAACAGGCTCTAAAACTGTTTTCTGTTCTTGATTTTTAAAAAATTGATTTTTGAATAGTGATATGATGTGAAATGTGTGGTTGAAAAAGAAGAAAAAAGTATTGATGTGATGGAAAATATTATTTTATTGAAGAATGTGTGGTTGAAAATGAGAATTGATTTACTGTAAAAAATGAAAATCTGTATCAAACAGGGCCAAAAAATGAGTGTCAAATAGGGGCTTAAATATATACAATCTTCTTGAAATATACACAAGTGACTTACGAATGATTTTTTTTTTAATAAAAAAAATATTTAACCCATGTGTAAACTTTTTGATGCGACTAGCCTGTTTGAAGTTGAATTATTGTTTTAGTACTTGTCCGTTTTAATTTTCTTTATTTGAAGATTCTGCTTTAAAAAAAATTAATGTTGTAAGATTTTATATATAACTACTGCATAAAAATTAGAGTTCTTATTAGTAATTTTCTTTATTTATGATTACACTATTTAAATTATTTTTATTTTTGAATTTTATATTGTTGTAGTAGATTAAGGTTACATTCTCAACTATATAAACAGGCGCCGACCACCATATTTTAGTACCCTATGTAACATTTTAAAATGGTGCCCCTTTTATGTAATTAAAAAACATATTAAGAAAAAAAGATATATTTCAATAATATTATTTTATTGTAAAAATAAGATATTTAATTTTTTTTTTTTTTACATGTCTTAAATAAGAAAAATATAAATAAAGCTCAAAGACACCTCTCGAATTTCATCAAAATTCATATGTCATAAACATAGAACCATCTAAGCCGCTAACTTCTTCGTGCAATCTATATAAGCAAACCATGATATCAAAAGTAACAAGTACTACATGTAAACCTTGAAATGTAACAAATCATGTAAAAGTGTTTTTTTTTTCTCTCATTTCTAGAGCAACACTAATTAAATTTTCGTAATTAATATGTTATAGTAAATCTTGTTCAATACATATCAAACATGTGTACTATCAATCAAACAAAAATGTAGAAGGATTAGGAATTAGAAATATAATAATGTTAAAAAAGAATCATAATCTACCTATTTGTCTTATCACATATGACATATCCAATAGGCAAAACTCAAGGGGAAATTTTTAATATTGTAATCCCTTATAGAGCGCAACAAAAACTTATCCTTCTACAACCAAAAAAATCCACGAAATAGCAATTAATAAGTAGATAATTGACACCAATGAAGTGGTGATAATACGATGTAGATTGTACTATTGCACAGCAAGAAACAAAGACTGATTGTAGAGTTTTTATCTTCTATATTTGACTATTTTTCATAAGTTAAAGGGTGTGAGAAAGGAAAATGACGAAGTGGGATCTGGGGTTCCTTTTCACTCCTCTTTTATCATTTAGATTTTGGACTGTTTGTTGTCTTGTTGGGTTGGTAACTAGTTAATGAAGCTAATTTAGCATTTGGGTTTGAGTTGATAAAATAGGCAGTTTAAAATATTTTATTTTCAAAATCAATATAGTTTAAAATTAGAAAAAAAAAAATCAATAATATATTTAATTTAAAAAATATTGACGTAATATAATTTTTTTTTTTTAACCCTAATAGATATTGTGCCCTTTATATACGGCTATAAACATGTTTTTAGTGCTCATACAATGTCGAGACCCTGTTTGATCACTCAACTCGCACATCCTCAAGACTGCCTCTATTTTTAAACGTGATTTGATAACTAATTTTTCTATTACTTTTCGGTTAAAAAATTTATCTTGAAAGTAATATTTGCGTTGTTCTCAAAATAAGTAACTTATCTTTAGCTTTAATTAATAGTAAAATTTCTTTATTTTAAAACATAAAATTTTTACATATTAAAATTTGATCACGTTAATGTGAGCTCTGCATTTGAGAGTGGTGGGGTGGGAAAATGCAAATTGCGGTTGAAGAAAAATTGCATAGTGTATATGTTACAAGAACTAAATGCATTAGCTATACGAATTTAGAAGTAGCAACAAGTTGTAAAATAGTATAAATTCAGCTCTTTGGGATTAAGTATTTGTCGTGAATCGTATTAGAAGATTTAAATATGATTAAAATAAGTCAAATATAATTTTTAATCATAATTAGCTAGAATAAAAATTGTTAAAAGGAAGTATGTGGAGCAATTTTAGAAGCAACATATTTCGTTTTCTTCATTGAATGGAGTGCAAATAGAGAAAATACTATTTTAGTACCATCATTCTAGTCTAATCCCATATTAAAACGAGTATTTAAAGTAATTCTATTTGCTTAGTAACAATATCTATAATATGCCCCGCAAAATCTTGCGAGTTAGAAAAACCTAGCTTGAACCCAAGGAGTTGAAGTTGGGTTGGGTTGTGTTGGGTTGTGGACGAGGGCTTAGTGTAAGTGAAAGCGAAAACATTAGCAAGTTGAGCATGACAAGTCATGAGAATCACCGATTCTCATCATGCCTAGTTTTGTAAGGAATAAAGCGAACATTTAGACCCTGTTTGATGCAAAATAGAAATTAAGTGAGTTCCATATATGAAATGTATAGAACATTAGATTAGTAAAAAAAAATTGGAATTTTATAATTAAAGATATAATATAAATAAATAAATATTTCTTTTTGAATAAGAACAGACAAACATTGTTAATTGTAGTAGAAATATGAGTGTCAATTTGGCTCGCCGACTTATGTGACTCGAGGCTGAGCCCGAAAAAAGTCTTAGCCGACCCAGTCCGGCCCCATTTTGAGGCATTGGCTTGAGCTCGAGCTTGCCTGCTCATGTCATGGGCCATTTTTATTCCATGACGAATTGATCCTAAAAAAAATAGTAAAAAGTCTAAAAGTTGCTTGATACAGGCAGCAAGTCGTTGCCTGTAAAGATAGGTTATTAAATAAATAAAAAGTGAGCCGAAAACTCGAGTCGAGCCTAGATTTTTTGGCCAAGCAAAAGCTCCATTCAGACTAAAAAAATTTCGAATCATTTTTACTCGAGCCAAATAAGCCCAAAGTTTTTTCATACTTTTTAATCGAACATTCTACAAAAGAATCAATTTTCACAAAATCACAATCTCTACAAAACAAGGAATAAATTTTTTTTTTTTTTACCATTATTATCCATCGTTCATAGATAGTTTTAGTTATTGAATATTTGGTATAAAAATAAGGATTATGTTAGTGATACATCAAAAGATGTTCTTAACGAGTTACACCTCCCTCACATGAGGATGGGATCCATGTGGGTCCCACCCCATGTGAGGTTACACCTTAGATACATCCTTAAATATCATTAGCATAATCCTAAAAATAATTCGGTTCACCCAAGAAAATACTATTATAAAAATTTAAATTTGCACGAGTGGAAGTAGTAGTTTTGGTTATCCTTGTCTTTCGTGAATGTCTTGAGAGAAAACAAAGTGTGAACAAACGAATTAGAAGTCTTAAAAGTCAAACTCGTCCGCTTACGCAAGCAGATGATGTGTCTATGATTCATTGTTGACTCACCCCACCCCACTCTCCAAGAAAATTCGTTCTCTTCCCCTGTACTCCCTGTTTTCCAGTACTATAAATAAATCCCAACAATGATCAATAATGTCAAGAGATTCCTACGTTAATTTGAGTGTGTAAATGAAGAAAATGGAAAAGGGTAAATCCAAATCATGTTTTTCTTCAACTAAGTCCCCAAAACTTGAAAGAAAAGTCGTTGAGAAGAACAGAAGAAATCGGATGAAGATTCTCTACTCTGGCCTATTCTCTCTAATCCCAGATCCCGGCTCCTTGGTATCTCTCTTTCTTTCTCTCTTTCTTTCTCTCTTTCACTTACACTTGGTCGGAAATAACAAATCTTGTATGCAAGAAAAGCTGCATATAACTTTGAACCATCTAAAAGGTTATGTTGTGACTGAATTTAAGTTATCTCGCTAAGACTTGACACACTCCTAGACCATTTTGTACCAATTCATCTAAAGAGTTAAATGAGCTGAGCCGCCTACCACCGGGATTGCTCGGCCCACTACACGAGCCTCGTTTCCAAAAATCCAGGAGCTGCGAGCAAAGCTGGCTATCAAGCCCCTCATGGCTGACCTTTTTTATTATTATTATTATTATTATTGAAAATTGCATTTTCACTCAACCTAGAGCCGCTTGCACGAGGTTTTCGCTAAAGTTCGCCTGTGTCTTGCCTTGGTGAGCCGGCGAGTGGTTCACCCCTCTTAGCACTCCGGAATTCATAAAAAAAAAAATTAAGTGGTTTCAAAAGAGACTGATTTATTTATGTGTATCAAATATGCATTTTAACACGTTGACTTTCATATATGCAGCAAGGGATGCCATTACCTGATCAAATGAATGAAGTTGTAACGTACATCGAGAGCTTAAAGATGAAGGTGGAGAAGATGAAGGAGAAGAAGCAGTCACTGTTTTCAAGAAAAAGATCACGTTCTTGTATTACAAGTGAATTTCAAGGCAACAGAAAGCCTTCACCACCTCTAGTAGAAATTCACGATATGGGACCAAATATGGATGTGATATTAGTTAGTGGGCTTGATGATTTATCAAAATTTTACAGCATACTTCACTCACTTCATGAAAATGGTATTGAAGTTGCCAATGCAAATTTTTCAATACATGGAAATTCCACCATCCAAATCCTACATGACAAGGTCTTTATAAATTCCATAGCCCTTTTAGGACTGTCATTTATCATTAGTTGTTAGTCTAGGTGACATCTACCCACTGATTATTGTCCTTTGGAATTGTGACGCATTTTTATGCGTTGGACAATGAATCATGAACTCCGTAGTCACTTGGATTGGCAATGATCACTACTAACTAAGAATAGCATTATTATTATTTATGACTTCAACCAATTCTCTCTCTCTCTCTCTCTCTCTCTGGTTGTGTAACTAATTGATTTCTGTTTTGGCTTTTACTTTTTAGATTTGGACATCAAAAATGGGATTCGAAGTTACAACAATGTCAAGAAGGCTCAAGCATTTGATCTGTGGATCCACACAGAGTGAAGTAGAATCAAATATAGATTCTGAAATCCAATCAGATATTTGGGGAATTGGAATTCAAGACTTCATCGATCCTTGTATGAGTTTGGAATTTTATCAAGATTATGAATATATGTGATTTCTTTTTTTATGTAGAACATGATGACAATCATAATTCTTAAGTAAAATAGACTAGTAGATATTAGTCAAAGAACCATTGTAAACTGTGGTGGATGAAATCAGTCCAAGGAAAATCTTGTGGCTGTAAGCCTGTAACATAGTGCTTTGCCAATAAGGTGCGAGGGTCATCCTCAGTCCAGTTAAAGTGTCAAAGGGTCATCACTTTTGCAGAAGTGATGATACTGAGGTATCGTGGAAAGGTACATAGTGGCTGTGTTCTCATGATTGTTTAGATTGAATAAGACTTAATAAGAGTTGAGGTAAAGCTCCATGTCCCCTTCTTTGTATTTAATTTTTTCAATATTCATAGTTAGAGTAACTAGCGGCTCGTACCGATAATGCACATGAAAGAGCCATTCGGATAAAATCATAGCGATAAAGTTTTTGAATATTTTGAGTTATTTCAGCACATTTTTGTCAAAGATGCCGCAAAATAAAATGCATGACAAGACTTCGAACTTGAGAATATGACCAATAATAAACCAAACAACAGTTCTATTGCAGCACATTTACTTTAATTGTGTAACATGCCACGGCACATGGGACAGAAAAATTACCAAGAATCTTGATCCCGCAAGGCTAGGCTAACTTCAAACATGTGTCGCCATCCGAACCCCATAGGGAAAGTTACCTAAACAAAGACAAAAATACGATCACCATGTTGCATTGGGAGAAAAAAGGAGCTTTATATTAAGCCTCCTGTTGGCAAAATTTATATATAATTTCATAAATGATCGAACTTTATTTTCAATCATATATTTTAATGGACTCACAAGTACTATCAATTTATTCATTATTCATTCTATCTATTTATAAATACTTTCCAAATGGAGGCTAAGACTTGCTTTCCATCTTAGCAAGTTAACTTTCTTTTTTTAAATGTCAACTTTGTTGAAAAAGCTGTTCAAACTCTTATATGCTGATCTGTATTTCGATATTCAACTAATGTGATACTATATTAATGGGCTCTGATACTATACATATTAAAGCATGGAATTTCATAATAAAAGGGTAACCTTCTCACGATGAGTAATCCAAGTTTATGCTATATTTTTGTATTTAACAACTGTTGAATTCATCTCTTAGCACTCTTTCGTTAGACTAGGGTGGTTTCACGGTTTTGACCTTTCACTGTTCAAATGCCTATTTTTGATTATCGGACCAGGGCTTGAGATTCTTGTGTTGCCTAAGGGAAGCTTAAGGTGTAATCTTTAGGTTTTTGCCTTCTATAGCTTTGATTTCCAAAGTTCTTGAGGGTTTCCTTCACTGTGACGGGTTAAAATTTGCGTGACAGTTGTTTCGGTTATCTATTTAACATCTAGTAGTTGTAATCCTTAATGAAACATTATATTTGATGTATATAGTGCAGTGTCAGAGTATTCACTTGGTCGAGCTCCAATATTGACGTCAATTTAGTTAGTTGGCCTGATGATTTATCAAAGTTTTACTCATATATAAGGATATTAAATGGGACGAGCCAATTAAATAGGTGAGTCGAGCGTGCGAACCAACTCAAGTTCACATATGTGATGAGCCGAACACAAGTTGACTCGTTTTCAAAAGTCCCAATTCAAGAGTCTTTTGTGGCTCTCCTTTCTCCTTCCTTTTTTTTTTTTTTTTTTTTCTTTTTTTTCTTGTTGAAAATTGCATTTTCACTCATCGATTACGGGGCTTCTCATGAGTAGACGAGCAACGGCATGAAGTTTTCATTGTTCGATTCGAGCTTGTGGCTCGTCTGGAACATGAGCCGAGACACATTGGCTCATTAGTGGGGAAGCATCGTTCACGCGCTTCATGAAGATGGTATTGAAGTTGCAGACGTCAATTTTTCCATACCTGTGAAATTCAACCATCCAAATGCTCCACTTCAAGGTCATTATTCCGTAGCCATTTGACGCCTTCTCTCTCTTTAGCTATTAAGTTTTTTTGTCTATGTTTTTTAGGTAGGAAATCAAGAATGGATTTGGAGCCACAAGAAGGCTCAAGAATGTGATCTGTGGGTCCACAAGCAGATTGCATTGAAATAGAACCAAATATATATTTATCAGATTCTCTGATTCAATCTGAGATTTGGGTTTTGGATTTCAATCATTCATAGTACTTATCGAGTTGGGAATAGTGGCATGGGTAAATCCCACGTCGTTACGTAAATGTGAACTTTAGGGGACAGAGCAAGTGATCCATATTCTAGAAAGGGCCACACTCAATCAGTCCCATTGGACCATTACTAAATTTCTAGTCAGTGATATCGTTGTTGAGAAATCGCATTCAATCAGTTCACACAGTACATGCCAGCCGTGTATTCTACGGGAAAGGGTGGGTAAGAATTGAGCTAAGACTCCATTCAGCAGCGCCAAGTCTCCTATGAATGTCTAACTTGCAGTTTTAACCAATAATAATAATAAATAAATAAAAGATAGTGAGAACAATGGTAATTTTTTAAGAACGTGTGGTTAAAAAGTATGATTTTTTTTTTTTTTTTTGAGCAATATATTTTATTGTGTAATTGAGAATAAATTGGAAAAAAAAATTGATTTCTTGAATGTCAAATAGGAAAGTGTTGGGCGTTATCTTCTCAACTGTCAAAGTATATCCGAACTTCCAATCTTCATTTGTACACACACTCGAGGTCAAAGTTCATGCACTCACCGTCCATTTGAATCTGCAAACCAGTACGAGAGCGACCTTCAAGAATAGCATTATGTATACGAGCGACTTATGTACGATACAAGTCAGATATTTGTCCAGTTTTCATTGATTGTTGGCAAATAAATAAATAAAGACAACCATACAAGGAGAATAACTCTAACATGATATCTAAATATATATTTTTCTAAAACTCATTTTTCATTAAATTTATTTTTAATAAAAAAAATTATGAGATCCACATTTTTGTATCAAATTTTTAATCACACATTTCATTAACCTTTATCGAAATTTAATAATCGGCTCTCTTTCATCTTGCTTGCACTCACAAAATCAATAGCACTTACTTCCTGAGACCTTGTATTGACGTCAAGTCTGTTGCTTTGTGATCTAAACTGTACGCGTATTAGCGTAATTGGATAAATAAATAAATAAATAATTGGAAAATACACCTCCCAAATTAATGAATTATGTACATTTCATTTAACAGTAATTTGTCTAGTAGAATTTGGAAAAGTATAATGCTATTTGTACATCACCGCTTACATAAGGAGTGACATAATGTCCAAGTGGCACCTCCTCATTGGAGGGGTGCCTAGGCCCCACATGTGGGCCGATGCGTCCCTCCAATGAAGAGGCGCCACTTGAGTATTATGTCACCCCTTGTGTAAGGGGTGATGTACCCGTAACAAAACCGTTTTGAAAAACCCTGTTTTCCATGAATATCCCAGATATTACCAGACATCTATGCATTGCAGGCCATGTTACTTTGTGAATGTACTGTTTGACATCAAATCAATTGAATTTAGGTGTAAAGGTAGAAAATGAGTGGAAAGAAAATATTTTACAATGAATTGAATTGTTTAGAAATTGTTTTACTGGGAATTGTAATTAATTGGGTTTGATTGATATAATTTTCCGCCTAGAAAATGTTTTAAATTTGGTGTTCGTTTTACTTCGTGCATGAGTTTTAAAATGGAAAATGAAATCCATGGAAAACTTTGCAAATCAAATAAGGAAAAATCTGAAAAGTGGAAAAGTTTTTCCTAGTTCCAGAGAAAAGAACTACAATCAAACATAGCCTTACAGCATAATGTGACAAAAAAGACTTAGTGGGGTCTTTGCCGAAATATGCACAGGAATAACACGTTTATACTCTGCAAAAATGACATGGTCACAATTTAAATAAATATATGTAATTTTTTCTTTAATAACTTTAAACTTTTTAATGATAAAAGTGGGTTCCACTCTCTGTCGATTTCAATTTACTACTATTATTTTTTCCATTTTAGGCATTTACTGGAAAAATGATCTCAGCCTGTGCACGTAAAGGAGATATTTAAGACATAATTTGTACAATCGTGCTCTAAGTACAATTTTTTTGACCGAACATCTTGATAGTCAAAATTTGGCATGACACTATTAGAATATGGAAAAAAATAGATCAATCATATTCCATCACATTAGCGTGCGCATTAATCGTGTTAAAATTTTCTTGTACTTGGAGGTTTATTGTAATTTGTATATTTACAAGTAGTTTCCATGACAATTTGTGGTTGTTTGACAAATTTTTTTATAAAAAATTTACAAGATTTTGATAAAAGTTAATAAAATATATAATTAAAAAATTGATAAAATTTGTGAATCCCATGAAATATAAGATTAAAATTTAGTTGTTGACTTTGACTATAGCAAAATTTAAACTATCTCAAAACAAGTACATAAAACTTTAGATGATACAAATCTTGCAGTATTCGCCCTAAAAAACAAAGCAAAAGGTGCTTGTCGATATGTGCACACAAAATTTCATATATTTGACTATAAAAAAAAACAGAGAGAGAGAGAGAAGAAAATCTTTCAAGATGGAACCTCGATTCCCTCAGCTAACATTAGAGTAAGGTTTTAAATTTAATCATATGGACATACGAGACAGATCCTTAATTACAGGCCAACGAGGGTGTTAAGTGATAAGTGTAAATATTACAATTATTTTAGCATAAAAGAGAATTTTGGGAGATTTTATGAACGATATCCTTAACTTTATGTGTTTTTGCTTATTTTAGGAGAAAATTCGACATTGGATGAGAAATGATGAAAATGAACAATTATTTATCAAAAAGGATGAAAGTTGAACAAAATTTTGAAGTTAGAGGCCAATGAGTCGTGCTTGGAAGTTGAAGGACATCAATTGCGATATTTAAGGACTAAATCCAAAAAAAGAAAAGAAAAGAGGAAATGGGAACCAAATTACACAAGTGAAATGATAAATTCCAAATATTTGATATATCCTAATTAGAATAAAATTATTGTTCT